ATTCTCATCCCCTTAGCGATGAGAGAGAGAGAGAGAGAGAGAGAGAGAGAGAGAGAGAGAGGGAGAGGGAGAGAGACAGATCTCCAAGATGAGTATCTTCCCCTGGCTCATTTTTTTATTTTTTTATTTGCTCTCCAAGAGAGCCCATTGTTTCATCCAAGGAAAATGAAATAATCTAAAGTTTAGGGAACCCCCTCCCCCCAGCTTTCCATTTGTTTTCTTACAGAAGATGAAAAGGAATTTACCAACGGAGGAAAGCTTTGGTGGAAAGCTTCACTTGACAGAGAGCAAAAAGCAAACAAAAGAAGAAGCAGAAAACTCCTTGCTGTTTTTGGCCAAGTTGTTTTTAACCAAGACCAAAGGAAGAGATTTCCTTAGTGGAATATTTCTTCCCCCAGTGCAGCCATCTGAAATATTTATCTGTCAGAGTTCTCTAAGGCACAAAATCTCTATATTCCTTCATCTCTCCTCCCACCCCCAAATGTCTTGTTATGGATGCACTTCATTTTCAGCTGACTGTCTTCTATGGCACAGAAGGTGTGGCTAAGAAAGTAAACAAATACATTACAAAGGGAAAGAGTCTGTGCTAATGTAAAGACACTGGCTGCTTTGGGGGGGCAACAGGATGCAGATCAAGTGAATGGGTGCACAGGAGTTGCTCTAGTTGTGTCTTTCCCTTTCCCAAATATTTGCAGGGGCAGCCTGCAATAATTAAAAGACTCTCTTTTTAGGAGCTGTTCTCTGGGGCAATGTGGCTTTCACAAGTGCAAATAAATAAACCTGGAAAAAAAATCTGAAAATATTTAATTAAACAAAACAGAACAAAACAACTAACAATCTCTTTAGTTAGTGAAAACGTGTGCAAATGGTTTGGGTTTTTAAATTTGTTTTTGTTTATATTTAATTTCTCAAAATAGGTTCTTAATTTAGCTTTAGGTGATTTTTGAGGGAAGTGTATTTAGAGATTTCTTTCAAACATTATATGATTGCCTCTGAATCTAGTGTCGCTCTACAGCCTGCAGTACTTATTAAATTGCGCTGAACATAATTATTTTTACATCTTAGGATAAAACACTTCTTAAGGACCAGGCTGGCACTCTTCTCCAGAGATATTGTTGAGCGCAACATCTTCAGCAACTAATTCAGTACTCATACAGCAGAAGTGTTCCTTTTGTTTTATATCTATAAAACTGGAGGAGCAATTATTTTCTATCCCTCTATACTTTCTATGGTCAAGTATTTATTACTCATATTTGTACCTCTATTTAAATTACTGCATAAGAAAACTTACTGTGATCTTAGTGGGTCCCATTGCCTCAAAATGAATCAAATGGGATTGCAGTAGTTTACTTCTTTTTTATAGTGAGAAATGAAAGATTGCAAAACTGCTAATATAGTAAAAGTAGTTAAGAAACTGGGATCTGCAAGTAAAACCATTTTTGTCAGAATTCAGCTACGATTAAGCAGTTTGCAACTCCTATTAATTTTAATGAAATAAGTTAAAGCACACCAATATCAGTGCTTCACTTGGAATTAATTGTGTGTCTTTCGATGAATAAGTCACCCCTTCAGCTGGTTCTTGTTTGAGATTTGCAGATTGAACCTAATTAGCCATCAGGTCCTAATTCTTAAGACTGCATGTAAACATTGCATGGCTGATACAATTAGATGAAATATTCTCAGTCATAAAATCATCACCAAAGTTTGAATTGGCAGTTTTGGACTTTACAAGAGGAAGTAAATTTGGAAAGAAGTTTTATCAAACTGCTCAGTAGCATATTTTGCCAGCGGATAGTGAACTCTATCTAGTTTATTTAAACTGAAATCTCTTCTTCACCACCACGTTCTATACGTTTGAAATCTAACAGGAGTGATCTATAGCTATAAGATATATATGCATGTATAAATTGAGCCAAAAACTTTTGTGATGGTCATGTTCCATGTAAACAAATGGTTGATAAAAGCACATTAAGATAATGCATTTCTAAGTTATATGATACAAATAGGCGATTTCTTGGCTTTGCTTGCTGTCGATACTGGAAACTACCTGGCTCAGCCCTAGGAAAGGTTCTAACGGTTTGACTATGAATTTGACAAAGTCTTTTCTTTTTGAAAAATTAAATTAGTCAGGCTGAACTGAAGAAGAAAGAGAAAGTCCGATGTGGACTCTTAGAGTCCTATACGTGCAATTTTTAGAGCAAATCATTTTCCATTTACCTGCTGCTTTTGATTTATAAGAAGAAAAATGAATCGAATCATCTATTTATTCTACTGGATGCAGATGAAATAGCTAAACATACTGCATATGTTTTTGCTTAAGATTTGAAAAGAGACTTTGGGGCTCCAGGGAAGATAGCAGATGTGGCAATACAACCAAAGCTGCAGTGTTGTGTTGATTAATTATTAATCAACACAATCATCCAGGGATTGGACTAGATGATCTCCTAGGTCACTCCCAAACCTTATGTTCTATGATTTTATGATTACTTTAACCCCACTGCCCAAATTGTGTATATGGATATACATCCTGTAGTATCAGAAGGCAGCAGAAGAGAAATGAGTAGGGAAGGGATCCAGAGTATTAATGGTCAGCCGAAGAGCTTAACCTTCAGTTGACTAACGTTGTTCTTTTCAATTGGACAAAATCTCAGAGTCTTGATTGCATTCCTATAATTTTATAGCCTTGACATAGTTGTTTTAAATGTTGCAATTTCCTTGATGCAGATTAAACTTTATGTAGGGAGATATATGGGCTATAGCTTAAGCAGTGTTCCCACTATAGTCAACTTGCATATTGAATGGTAATTACATAACAGATTTTATAGAAACCTCTTGAAATTTCTTTTTAAATGGTTAGAGTTATCTTTTCTCACCATTTCCTGATATATCCTTTGCAGCTTGATTATTTCCTTAGATTTTTGCAAACTGGAAATAGCTCTTCTTCACTGTTAATTCAATGGAAAGGAAGCTTCATTGACTGAAAGAAGAAAGTAATATTACCTAGTGATTTTCAGCAGTGGATACCACAATTGAGAGAGTATGACTGGAGTTACATTTAAAGAGCTTACCATGTTGGAATCCCAAACATAGATACAGCACAGATGTGAATGAAGGCTACTGATTCAGTACTCTCTATGGGGAAGATGTCTGCAGTTCCACTATGTTGTCATTTACTTTATTAGCAAAGTATTGAGCTAAACATTTACTGAGATCCTTCAATATAGTTTAGATTGTGACTTTTGCTACTAACCTATACAGGTGGTCCCCAATTTAAGAACAAGTTCTGTTCTTAACGAGGTCAGTCCTTAAGTTGAATTTGTATGTAAGCCAGAACAGTATTATTGTATAATAC